TGTGCAACACTTCAGTGTTTTTACACCGCAGCCAGTGTTTCCTATCTAAATGTTCCAGGAGCCTGAGGACCAGGAGTACTTCTCCGAGTTTGTGACCCTGCCTGCCGTGCGACGCTCCATCCACGTGGGCAACCTCACCTTCCACGACGGCTCGGAGGTGGAGAAGCACCTCCTTCAGGATGTGATGAAGAGCATCAAACCATGGCTGGGAGTTCTGATGGACAACTACAGGGTAGGCGGACGTGCAGCATGTCAGTGATGTTTGAGGTGTTCTGGTTCCGCTGGACTTCTTAAACCCGATGATTTGAAAGGTTGTGGAGTTTTATGGAACAGGAACAGAAGTTAGACTTTCTATGAAAAGCGTTTTTAGATGTTTTAAGAACTAAACACCATTTAATTCTACTAGAACCAAATGCTAAGTGTTTTTTCATTTCGACATTAAAATGTTGTCTCAGTGTTTTTGTGTAAAAGTTCTAAATCTTGTATAACCTCCTGAACAGCCTCTGTTCAGAGAAATGGTTGACAGCGTCGTGGACTCGTGAGCTAACAGCTGTCAGTTATGATCTAAAACAATAAAGCGTGAACGTTTGGACCTGTTGTAGAGTTGTTCACATCTCCTTTGTAGAAACCGCAGGGTTCTGTTTGGGGCCAAATCTTCATTATTGTACGTCTGGCAGTGTCTTTGATCACTTTCATGCTTTAAAGCAGAATCCTGACGAGACATCCTACATATGTGACTCTATAGTCTGACCACGACCCATAGACAGAACTCGGTCATGGGGCGGAGTCTACAGACAACAAACAACGTGACATACTCGCCGCTATGCGTGTCAGTCAACGGGGCAGTCCACATGACGCCATCAAAGAAGCTTTATCTGCTCTTGACTCAAACAAAAGCCAAAGTCTAAATAGTCCAGAGTTGATAGCAAAGCTGTTTCAGACATGCGGTTGCCGTGTTGTTTGCACCATCCTGCCCACCAAACCAATAGAGTGCTGTGATTGGCAGAACACAGTACTGCTCAGGCCAATGGCGTGCCTGCTGAGGCTCCAATAGGAAAGACTCCTCCCTTTCTGGTCGGCTCGCGGGTCTCCAGAAGAACAAAACAATGAATGCAAGTCAAAGAGCTGTTTTCTAATCCGCTTTGCCTGACGCCCGGAATCACACACATGTTGTACTTCCACCTAAATGAAACTAATGATGTGTGTTTCCACCACGCCAGTCGTGTACTTAATCAGCTTGTAGAAGTTTGTAATTGTTATACAAATCAGACATCGGTGTGTTGCAGACCACATCATCTCCTCTCCCCTAGCGTAGCTGCTACTCACCACATGGCCCGATGGCTCTGTCCTGAAGGAAGGATGCAAAGCTCGCTAAACTTACAGCCGTTATTCCTCAGCTCTTCTCCATGTCTGCTTTGATGACGTTGCTTCGCATTCACACAAAACCTGAAAATAAGCACGTTCCTGGCATCAGAATGTGTCTTTAAAATTCACGGACATCAAACGTGAAATCCGTGGCACGTAACCAACGGGGTTACAAAACAGCTTTTACAGCCACGTTAACTTGCATTCGTGTTTTTGTCCCTACTAGGGTTGTCACGGTATGAAAATTTAACCTCACGGTTATTGTGACCAAAATTATCACGGTTTTCGGTATTATCGCGGTATTTTTTAAACGGTGTTGCATATGTTCAGAAAGCATTGATAGTCCTGTTCTACACAAACTGAAATAGGTTTGAAAAGGTTTAACAGTGTTTATTAAACCTAAAATAACACAAGCCTTAGCAAAAGTGCAACTTTTCACAAGTAAAGGAACAAATAGCTTCTTTTTCTGGAATGTGTTACAGTAGTCAGTGCAGGTTTAAATTATACAAATCCAAACATTCAAAACATAAACAATATGTAAAGAAATCAAAGAAACACCACTTGTTTTCTCATATACTTGTTTTCTTCATTATCAAAATGAAAATCTAAAACTCCAGTCCACACTTGACTTGAGCACTGTACAAGTCAACCTTAAAAATATGTAGTTAAAATAAATGGCCACTTTAAACAAATTACTAAAATAACTACTACACAATGTAATCAAATCCAAATGTTCAAGTATAAATGGCATTGAATAAGTAAACAAATCAATGACAAGGAACTAATTGTATATTTCTCTTCATCATCAACAAATACGATGCTTCATCCAGCAACCAGCTCGACCAAAAGTCCTCACGTCCTCACATTTAAGCTAAAATGCTAATGTTAACTTACCTTGCACTGGCTGTAGAGACGTGGGTGATGGTCACGCAGATGTGCCATTAGATTCGAAGTGTTGCTGCCTTCTGCAGACACTTGTTTCCTGCACGTTCTGCAAACGGGATAGCAGTCTTCTATTAACTGTCCCTCAGCGTTTTTCAGAAATCCAAAATATGCCCATACTTCCGATTTAGTCTTCTTTGAGGGCTGATGGATGTCCTGGGCGCTGCCGTCTCCTCCTTCGGCCATTATTTCAGCTTCAAAGTTTTGGTAACGTTGCAAACTAAAAAGTGCGTGTGCACGGGAACTTCAGCTGAAGCGACGGTGGCTGGTAAGGGTCACCGCGCCGAAACCGCGGCCACGGTAAACCCACCGAGATAATTTAGTTTTTTAAAAACAGGACGGTTATTTTTATTGTCAACTTTTTTACCGGGGTTTACCGCTACACCGGTTACCGTGACAACCCTAGTTCTTACCCACGGTCCGGCCTTAGCCTCCCTATGAAGCACGGCTAGACCAGCACGCAGCACAAAATCATTTTACTTCAACTATCGTCTAGATTTCTTTGCTAGAAATCCAGAGTTTTTTCTCAGAGAGCACCACCTAGAGGTGGAAAACATATTGCACCTTGAAACTCCTCTCTACTTCTCAGCGCCTCTCGTTCATGAGCGTGCACCTGAAGCCGGCCAGTAGAGCTGCAACTCGTTACTTTACCATCATTACTTACATGTTAGGCTGTTTGCTCACGCAGATTTCTGTAAGTGTCACCACCACTGCATCCGACCACGTCCAACATGAACATGGAGATCTTTGACCATTGAAAAGCAGGTCTGTGGTGCTTTTCAGCAGGTGTAGTCTGTGGGATTTCTCTGCCTCTGTCTGCTTTCCTGTAGAAGCAGCTGTATTTTTTGGTGGCTGTGAAGGCGACTCCATGATGTCTTTGTGAACGTTTGAAATCGCAGCTCAGTCTAGAAACGTCCACAAACACGTGTGCTCAGTGATGGACCAGTTAACTAGGTTAACTGGCTAATGCTGCGCGGCGCTAGATTCGGTGTGCATGAGGCAGTACGTCCGTAAATGAGTCATTTATTCTGAGCTAGTTGGTGGCTGCTCTAGATTTAACACAAGATGGTTATCCTGGCTAGTTTAGATTATTGTGACGTTCTGTCACCTCTTTTCACCTAGAATGTGTCTAACGGTGTTTTGTCTTTTTAAAACAGCCGCTGAAGACCTCTGATGTTTGTTATTTACTGTTAATGAGCTTTCCGTACCGTCTGTGCAGGTGCTGATCTACAGCGGTCAGCTGGACGTGATCGTAGCTGCTCCTCTGACTGAGAGGTTCCTGCCTACTGTCAACTGGACCGGAGCTGCCGAGTACAAAACCGCCCCCCGCTTCCACTGGAAGCTGCAGCCCAGCGACACGGAGGTGGCCGGTTATATTCGACAAGTGGGAGAGTTTTACCAGGTGAGCACACGCGTGCTTGTTGTAGGACGTTCCAGTATGTTGACACGTGTCCACGTCTCACGCAGGTGATCATTCGAGGAGGAGGACACATTCTGCCGTACGACCAGCCAGCCAGATCCTTTGATATGATCGACAGGTTTCTGTCCACCCAGGGCTGGAACTGAAAAGCTTCTTTACAGAAACGTGACTGGTTGAAGCTCCGTCTCCGTGTCAAACACACTGATTGTTCAGAGCTGACTTGAAAAGGTGTTGATTTCCACAACAAATCTAAATCTACAAGTTTTGTTCAGATATTTGCAACAAACATTTTTTTCTCGTGTTTTAGCAAAGGGATGTTATGATTTGGGACTTTGATTTCTAAGGAACCCCCACAGATGTAGTTGGTACATCGGGCTCTGTCGTCGTGGCTCCTGAATCTAGTAAATATTTTTTTAATCATTTATTTAAAATGTGTAATATTTTAGCCAATAATGAAATGTTTTTGTAACAAACCTGTTTTTACTTTTGTATTTGATCTACTTTTGTGTTTCTTTCTGGTTTTCCTGCAACAAGATTTTGAGTCACCTTAAATGTCCACTAGGGGGCACTGCACTCTAAAGGATTTGAACTGTTAGCGGAGAAAAGCTCCAACATGTTAATCATCACAATAATTATAATAATAACTCCAACCTTCCTAATTACAAACATTTAATCAGAAAAGCTTTCCCACTGAAACGTCCTGGTCTTCGTATTTGTTTGTGTAAATTATGGAGACGTCTCTTCTGATGGACAAGTGTGACCTCTTGCTGTCTACACACACATACACACAAACACACATTCTTGTTCAGCCCTGGCAGGTCTCCATGAAGGCTGCACGTGTAAAAGTTATCTGATTGTGGACACAAACACTTTTGAAAAGAACCAACGTAACCTGCAATAAAATGTTGTGGCTCTGAGACCTGAAGCTAGAAGTCCTGCCAAGCCACATCTTCAACAAATTAAGAGTCTGCACAGTAGTTTGGTGGATAATTTTATATAAAAGCTGATATCAAAATAGATATTTCTTCAGTCCTTTGCAGACTTTTTAAAAATCTCTAAATGTTTTTATGCAGGCACAGTTTAAAGATCCTGAAGAGGTTTGCACAAGGCAGGTGGCATCTAATCACACCTGGCACCTTTAATAGATTAACGTTGTGCTTGTTACGACGATGATGAAGCCATCAGAGTGTGAGCATGCATCTGTCTGTGAGCGCCGGCGTTAACGGATCACACATCTACCAAGCTGTCTAGACGGCTTAATAATTAATGAGCATTCTAAACCTTTAAAGCATCTGACTATTTAATGAGCCCTTATTTTTCAAGAGCATGCATCAACAAAATAAATGTTGATCGCATCACATGGATGCTTTTCCCACTGACTGCACACATCTGTGCAGGAAAAGTGAGATCACGAAAGCTTTTAGCCTTTATTGTTACAGAACAGGTGCTTTATTGTCATGTAACTGCAGTGATATTAAATGTACAAACGCAAAAGTCATGAACACAGACCAACACGAGAAAAATGTACAAAGTTATGCAGGTGAGGATGAATTCATCAATTCATTATGCATTTCAACTGTTTTAAACGCTGGAATGAACATTTTGACAAACATTAAAAGGCAACAAGTGTTGTAAAAACATTATTTACAAACGTACCACACACACGTATACTCCCTTCAGAAAGAAAGGTGGTTGTAATACATGTACAGGATTATAGAAATTAATGATTTTATGTACAATATTTATACTTTTTAGATTTAAAATAACAGATATACCATTAAAATGTGAGAAATGATCTCCACCTTTCTCACACACACACACACACACTGTACTTCCATTTGACCTCACAAAGTAAATGTTTCATAAACCTGAATCTGATGTATTAGAAAAAGTTTTAAATCCTCCAAATGTTCCCAGTTGTGAGCAATTCAAGGTCATGAGCACATTAAACATGAAAAATCTGGAATGGTTTCATCTAAAATTAGAAATTGAAAATAAGGCAAAAAGCTCAGAGGGATGATGCAGCGAAGCCCTTTTCAAGAGAATTCCTCTGACTCATCACACACACACACCGGTCTACACATCTACTCCGACAAGAACACACACACCGGTCTACACATCTACTCCGACAAGAACACACACACCGGTCTACACATCTACTCCGACAAGAACACACACACCGGTCTACACATCTACTCCGACAAGAACACACACACCGGTCTACACATCTACTCCGACAAGAACACACACACCGGTCTACACATCTACTCCGACAAGAACACACACGCTGCAAACGGACAACAAAACGCAAAAAGTTCAAAAGGATAAATAAAATAAGAAGCTTTGAAGAAGAACATTGTGATGACCTCATGGCCCAGGCTAGGCACCGTCTCCTGTGTGTGTGTGTGTGTGTGTGGATGAGGAGATCACTAAGAGTTACTCTGACCTCCGTATGGCTATTCTACCCTCTGATGTGACAGAGGACAAAGTGCATAGACAAGCTCTGTGACCGCTCCGCCTGTCAGAGGAATGTGAGTCACCCATCCTGCTGCAGAAACGGTGCGTTCAGGTCCTCATGCAGTAAAACTGACATTCCAGCTCTTAGGAGAGAGGAAAAGAAAGTTGCACAACAAGAGAAAGTTTTAAAGCTGGGAAATAAAAACTCAGATAGAAAGAGGTTTGGCCCAAAAGCAGACATCGTTTGAGGGGAAATTAGACACATCTTGTGGTTTCATGGTACAAAGCCAACATGGATTTGGATAAGGATTCAGGCACAACGTGGAAAATAATCACTTCAAATGACGCTCGTTCCTTAGAGGAAATGAAAAAAGGTTACACATTTTCTCCCTTCCTTGGTTCTTGTTCTGCCCTAGCACAGCTACCGAACTTTGTTCTGCAGAGCAAATAACACAAATATACAATATTCACAAGTAAAACTCATTTCATTTGGAGTTTTGTCCAAAACACACATTTTCAAATAGACACACTCAGACAAAACCAAAAGGCCTCGATGATTAAAGCTAGACTTGGCCCTGCAGAGTGGGTGGCGAGCTGCCTCACCCGTATCACAGTGTAGTTCTGAAACAAACAGGTGTGTGTCCGTGGCCGTCCCCGTCCAGGAATGGGACTACAGTAGAAAGGATGCTCAATACTGTGGTGTATTGCTTCAGTTTAATCCTGTGGTGTAATTCATGTCATGCAATAGTTCATAAAGCTCTTTGGGGATAAGGATGAGAGAGGGCTGATCTCTGCCTACATGACGTCTGACCAGGAAACACTTGGGCATTCAGAGATGTGAGGCGAGTTTTTATAAATGTCGCTGATGCTTTCTCTCCTCCTCCTCCTCCTCCGGCTCCATCAGCATGGTGGCCAGTTTTGTACCATTAAGCAACAGAAACATTTCCTTTCTGCCAGATGCTCGAGAAAAGCAAACCGAAAAACACAAGGAGCTGAACCGTAGAGACATTATGTGTTAATAGGGTTGTTGTATAAAAATATACTGCAGCTACTGTATAAAGAGCAGCCTCTCTGGCCTTTCCACAGTGGAAACGGGGCAACAAATGCAGCTGGGAACCCTCATAAAGCAGGCTGGAGGGGGAGGGGGGAGCACGGAGGCTGCAGATCAGATTCTAGTCCCTAGTGGATGGGGTTAATGTCTGTGCGGTGGTTGGTCTGCCCGTGCACGCTGCCGCCTCCTATGGCCGTGGTGGAGGTGGTGATGGTGTTGTGCTGGATGACCTGCTGTTGGGAGCATGCCGGGGGGGTCGGGCTGGCTGCTGGGCTGCTCTCTGGACCTGAGGAGACACATTCAGGACATGAGTGATGCTGTGATGTTAGACCTGTAGACGTGATCAAACCAAACGCTACTGTCGTTAAAAACATCATTTATCTATTAAAATAGTCACATTTTACATGACAAGGGGAAGAAAAGACAACGGAGCAATGAATCGGTCCGCTTCATAAACACACCTGATGGATCTGGGACACACCGAAGGTGACAAGCTAGACTCGTCATCGATGAGCCCGTTCTGGGAGGTGGCTTTCTCCTGCATGAAAGAGCCATTCAGCCGTAGGGCAGCACCCAGGAGGAGCCTTGTCCCGCATACATGTAAACAACACTCACGTGCATGTCAAAGAGGGCTAAGTGTGTGCTGGTTCTGATGTCATGTGAAGCAGAGCTGAAGCACAGCCCAAATGTCGAGAAGACTGGACATTTGTAAAAGTCGGCCACAGCGCAGCCCGGTGATGCCTTTCTCACGAGGAGTCTCCTCCGCCTCCACGCACAGGCGTCGGGGGAAAAATGAGAAGGTTGATGACCAACTCCCAGTCTGAGCCGGCAAGCAGAGTGTGCAACGCCCAGATGTGAAAGCAAGCATCCTGCGCTGAGCGTGGGAGCTGGACACCAGCTCAGAGCCCAGAGTCTGGGCAGCCGCTGACTGGTCTTTAGATTTACGTCTGCAGGGCTGAAGCCTACCAGTGTGTGTCTGTGTGTGTGTGTGTGTGTGTGTGCGTGCGTGTGTGTGCGTGTGTGTTACTCACTGAGGTAACCTTGGGACTCTTTCTGCATGGTGGTGATGGGGCAGTCCTTGTGAGTGAGCAGAAGCTGCTTGAGTTGAGTCACCTCGGTCTTTAACATGGTCACTTCGTTCTGAAATGAAACAAGATTGTTGGAGGAAGCAGCACACACACACACACTTCACCAGGACTCGGCCCATGCTGCATCAACGTGTGTACCTGAAGCTGCATGTTGGTCTGAGTGAGCTCTTCTGCTTTCTTCTCTAAAGACATCACCCAAACTTTCCTCTTCTGTCTGCATCGCGTTGCAGCCGCTCTGTTTCGTTCCAGAAACTTTCGCCGTCGTTCGTCCGGATCCTCGTCCGCTACCCGCCTGCGCCGCCCCCCGCTGGGTGGTGGGGACTGCAACGTCTGTGTAGGCTGCATTTGCTGGGTTGCAGGTGACATCTGAAACACGCAGCACAGCGGATCAGGGTCCACCTGCATCTCTGATGACACGCTGTCTGCTGTCACCACCCTGCTTCCTGCCTGTAATCACCGATCTATACATGATCTCCTCCTTCTATTTAGTAGCTGGCAACTTCCCCAAAAACAACAGCTGTTTGTAGCACGTGCCTCGGGAGCCGGGCGGCGTGCGTCAGAGGTGAGACTGAGTGGGTGACTGGGCTGATTCACCAGGCTTGCCCACCTTGTTAAAGAGGTGTCAGGAGGCCGTTTTCCAACGCCCACTTCCACTCAGACTAACTTCACCAGACACCGTCAAAAGGCCCGTTTCTAAAGCTGTACCTGCTCTGACAGATCTGGACAGTTACTTGGCAAAGTAAAGTGTTTTCAGTCTTCGGGTCATTACCATTTTTATGAGAACTACGGAAAATACAAGCTGCTTTAATGGCGGCTGTGCATACAGACAGTGTTGTTTTAATGCCTTCATGGTACATCTGGAGCGGCCGTACAGCAAAGTGCTTTTTCTCCTTCAGTCAGACTGTCTCTCATCCACAATGATTGGGAAATGTCTCACAACAAAACATTCTGGGCACTACGTTCAAATAAACCCCAACCACATACATCCACCGCTAAGATATTCCAGGTTTTTAATTCAACACGGTCTCTCCACCGTTAAACCTCCCTCTGCACCTGGAGCAAACCGTGGCCGCATAATTACAGCTTACCCAAGCAGAATGATGTGAAGCAAAGTTTCCAAAAGACAGTCAAGAGCATCTTTTATGATCGCCGCTTCACAACCTCCTCTCAACCCCTACCTGTGGCTGGCCAAGCTCAAAGGAAAGCCAGGAAACTAGCTGACATTCAGGCTGCAGCAGGGAACGTCCGTTTGCCCACTGACTTGTAGATTTAAGCATCATTTCAGCAACGCTGCAACACCAAACCACTAATAGCCGACTTCTGAACTGCAACAAATTGCACAAATGTGTGCAGCATAGTGGTGTTTGCCTTTACCTGAGATGCAGAGTGCATAGGAGGGTGCGGTGAGGTCTGGAGGGGGTGCCCCGGGAGGAGGTGGGGGTTGTGATGGTGTCCTTGTGGGTGGTGGTGCGTGGCCTGGCTGTGGCTCTGGTTGTGGTGGTGGTGTCCGTGGTGCTGGTACGTGTGAGCGGGGGCCTGCATGTGCTGGTGTGGGTGCATGTGAGGATGGCTGCCCTGCTCCTGCCGTGAAGACATCATCTCCATCATGTGGCCCATGGAGTTCATGTTGCCGTTGGGAATGGCTCCAGGGTGGTGTGAGAGTGCGGCCTTCAGCCTCTGTGTGGACACAAAACACAGCATCTTACAGCTTCTCTCTCTCTCTGTATTGAACTGGACTTCAGCAGCGTGCTGTTTAAGCGTGAGAGAGCACGTGTTGATGGTGACATGACAAACGGCTTCATAAATCCACGTCAGGAGAACAAATCAAAGCCACTTAGGCTGTCCTCTGTCTCTCCTTCACTCCTGTCATTCTGGTTCTTCACCTTTCCCGACGACCACCACAGCCGCCCCTCCTCTTCATATTCTTAATAGCCTATTTCTCATGCGTGAGCGTGAGGCCAGCGAAGCTGTAAACCTCAGCCCAGCTGAAGGCGTCGGTCTCTGAGTGAAATGTGAGGACCAGAGAGAAACCACTCATTAAGGTGCACGTGCGTTCCTTTTGTTTGCTGGACGTACGTCTCCGGCTTCTCCGACGCAGGTGAAGATGCCATGCACAGTCGTTTTAACAGCACTTCCATGAGATCAGTACAATGAAAGGAAGTCCCATACACGTTCAGCCAAAGCCTTCCCTCCAAGGCTACTGTTGGGAATGCCACAGTTTTAAAAATTCTCCTTCCCAGTGATTCCATTCCTCTCCCTTCCCCCTCCAGGCAGCTGCTGTCAGTAAGTGCACGCTCAGTCCAAGGCTCCATATCTTTTAACAACCTTCACATTCATGATTCCCATCGGGAATGGCATCCAGCTGGTCCCGCTCACAGCGCTAGGACACAGCCGTAGCTAAACACCAGCCCCTGCTCTCCCAACTCACTCTCTCTGAGACGAACGCTCTCCACAGCAAGCATGAGAAGAGGCGCCGTAAAACTAAACCTTCTGAAAGACTGCACATCTGCTGGGCTGCAGCCGCTTTACAAAAGGCAAACGTCGGTTTGTGGAGGATTTAGAAAACCTGTGGTTATTACCTGGTTTTCAGTGACGAGAGTAAGATACAGCGAGCTGCACGTGAAACCAGCACGGTGGAATTATGACCTTGCCGAGCCTGTTTCAGCTGATGCTAGTCTCTGTTTGTCGTACCCAGATGTCTGACATGGTGACACGCGTTACCTTTCTGCAGCCTTATTTAAGTTCTGCATAACTCATCAACGCTCATTTTAAATGAGCTCAAACTGAGAAGATGGATCTTTGTTTAGTTTTTCTCTAAATCATGTTTAACGGCTCTTCCCACAGCCTCATTAGTACGAGTCACCACAGCCCTTCCTCTCCAGCCAGAGGGACGTTCATGCAGCACAACAGTAACACACAGCGGTTACTTGCAGGCCGGCAGCTGTCCACAGCAACCAACATCTCCTTAGTCACTCTAGGAGCGATGAACCTCAAGGATAAACCTCTTGTGGTGTTACTTTAATCTGGGCTTTTGTGCTAAAAGATGAGTCAAATTTAAAAGACAAGAGACAACAAGCTAGCGGACACACAGCTGGAACAAAGCTAAGGATCAATCACAGACACTATATTTGACAAGGACGTCTTCCATGTACCACCAGATGAGATGGAAGGCTGGCAAAAATCACGAAACACCTTTCAGATGGAGCCAAAGCGAGGCCCACCCTTCTCATGAAACAGAAAACCAATCAGAGGTCTGGCAAGCTGCTGCCGCTCACCTCAGCGTGCAGAAGTCACAGGCTGTCCGTCTCTAGCTAGCATCAGCTGTGTGACACTCAGGTGGCAGTTCGCTGCCAGCCAAAGGGAGGAGGCAGGTGGGAGAGGTGAGCGCGGTTAGATGGATTCCTGCCCGTCTTACACACACACACATACACTGAGTTGCGGTCAGTGATTGCTCGTTTATCAGCGTCTCAGGAAGCTTCCCAGCTAGCAAATATGGCATTATCTGTCTGTTAAATGAATGATCCCACAGTACAGAGGCAGGTCTGCGAGCTGAAGGTCCTCAGAGTGCTTCAAAATTACAAGCAATGTAGAAAGAAAGCACACATATACTCAAATGCTCATTTCTACACAAGTCCCCAAAGTTTTTGGAAGATTCAAGGAGTTTGTTAGAAGGTCTACGGCTAGAAAGAGAGGTGATGAGAGCATCACAGTTAAACCCGCTTAATTCAAGCTATACCGCCAACAATCTGCAGATTAAAGCTTCTTTTGTGTTGAAAGAAGAGGACTCCTACCTTGAGATTCGGGCTACTCCTGATGCTATCGCTGTTCAGGTGGCTGCTTCTGCTCAGGTAAATCCTGTTCAGCCTAAACTTAAGTCCTGGTATCCAGAACCACAGTGACGCAGCTAAAGTACGTTAGCAGGGTGATGATGAGCGGGCTGCCACTCTCAAAAACCTTCATCAGCTCCCTAATGACTTCTTAACTCATGGTTGTATTTCCCCAGACTCTGCTGAGCACAAGAATATAACCACTGTGTGCATCTTACTGTAATAACACACACACACACACGCGCAGGTTTCTCTTGCAGCAACATGGTTGCTACAGAAAACAGTCATTAGAGCGGTGCAGGTGTCAGCGCCGTCTGCCTGCGGTTGTTCGGCTTCCTGCGGCGTGATTCCAGCAGCCGCGTGAGCATCGGACACAACGTTCATGCAGTCAGAACCTACTAACAGGAGTGGCAGTATTGATTTTTCAGCCTCTCTGATTCAGCCACCTTTTGGCCGATAAGCCATCTCCACACAGATCTTCACCTCTTGACCTCTCTACTCCCTCTGTGTTTTTAGGCCCCTCTGTTTTATACCAGGTGATCATCCATTAATGATATTTATTAATGGCTGCTTCCTCCCTGACACGACAGGCCCTGAGTGATGTCCCTGTGAGTGCTCTAGGCGCATCCCGAGGACACACTCGGGCTTCTCTGCAGCAGATGACTTCATATCTATTAACCCTGGCAGGAGGAGGCGGGAGCACGGGAAGCATGTACAAAATGGAGGAGACCACGCCTGGGTGAAGGTGGGTAAATCAAATTCACTGAGGTCGGGGTGAGCACTTTTATTCCCCTTAAAACTGAAGCGCCGTGCTACCAGGAGACCTGTGGCCCGCTGGCGCCTCCCAGCAGGTTAGACAGATTTAAGCAGTCTGTGGTGACACACTTTTACAGCCCAGGGATCAAAGTTTTAAACGGAGATCTTCCTCTCCTCATAAAAACTGACCAGCAAGAAAGATTAAAGCTTCTGTCTGTTTCTTCACCACCACCAGTGTTTGCTCGGATTATATATTGTAGCCTGAATTTATTCCTGTCCGGGCCTCCTAAGTCCCACTCTACACTCCTCATGGGTTCACAAGCTGCAGCCTAAAGCAGGACCTGGGCTCTGGAGCTTCACCACACAGTCAGAGGTCCCTGCTCACCTCCACCACCATCACCACCAGCTCATGCAGACCCACTCTCGGTCTTCTCAAACTCCACAACCCCATTCGTTGTGTTGTATTAGATTTCCCTTTCGCCCAGCAAGGCAGTAACACCTCCCCTTCTCCACCCCCACCCACCCCCCCAAGAGCTGGGGACTGTTAAACTGATTTCCTCTGGGAACAGAGAGGCAGAGAGTCTTATGGGAGCGCTGGGCAGCAGGGCCGCCCCCTCTCTCTCCGTCCAGGTTTTGGGCCAGGACCTGAGCAGGAACGCTGTGGTTCCAGACAGAGACGAGGGAGACGCACATAGACTGGCTGTTCTGCCAGGCGCTCTGGTGGTGCTGGGAGGATTCGAGGAGGTACACACACCCACCAAGGAGCATGCTCCAAAGCATGCGCTCATACTCTTGGCAGCTCCTGCACCCTGTCGAGGTAATGGATGGGCCTCTGACTCCAGTCTGCATATCCCCACTGTTCCCTCTGTTGTGTAGCCCAGCTTCAGCGCAGCCCGCATGGTTATCACTACACCCCCTGTCACCAGGCTGAATGCGGTGGACGTCCCACACTGACAGACACACAATACTAAATACTAACACACTCCATAGCTGTGAGATCAGAGAGGCCACGTGTCAGAAATCTAACTGAAAGACGATGACTTGAATGAAAGTCATTTCTAACGTGCTTACAATACCAAACCTTTGAAGTTTGTGTACCCAAAGCTCAAGAAGTTCCTCCTCTCCTTTAATGTGTTCTGTGACATTTTTACAATAATACATATTGTTTGTGTAGCAATACAATGAAGGTTTAACCAAATAAACTCGGTTTAAAGCATAACTACGGGCAACAGAGGCTCGGGGCTAAAGGAGTTCGCCCTGTAACCAGTGGGTTGCCAGTTTAAACCCAGCCTCCGCCAGTGTCGTTGTCCTTGGGCAAGACACCTCACCCATCAATGCATCTTTCCTTTTGGAGTTGGGACAGCAAAGTATCCCATAATGCATTGTTATTCTCCAAACGTCAGTCAGTCAGCAATCCAATAACTAGAGTTTTATATCAGAAATACTGATAAAGAAATAATAAGTTGTCTGTTATTAATAATTAACCTGTAAAATCTGCTGTGTGTAATTGTGTTTTACTTTCACGATCCCTCCAAATGCTAACTAGCTAGCCCGCTGTCAAAATAAAAGCAGAGTAGCTCTGTTCTAATGAAAAATAATTTATTTTACTTTTGTATTCATTTAACAGCAGAAAATGTTGAAATTGTATCCGTTTTGATAAAAAAATGGACCAAATATAAGAGAAACGATATGTTTTTGTTGTTATTTTGTTATTTAAGGAATAACCCAGACTTTTATTTTCATGTCGGGCCGTTTAACCGTAGCTAGAAACAAGCAGCGCTTGCTGCCAGGACACACCGGAGTGCGGTTCTGTTCCAAAGGCTGTCCTCGTCCTCCCGTGCTCGGTAGAGTGGACTCTCTGGTGTCCTTGTCAGGAACACACTTGTCTAGAACACAAGAACGTACCAGCAGCCTTACTGAGAAAGGCCCGTCTCCTAGACAAGAGAAAGTTTAGAACAGCGGCTTGTTTCAGAAAACGATGCGTTTGTTGATGTGTTGGAGCACAAGATGCATGGTCCTGTAGGACCTTTTCAAATGGTTTCAGCTGACAGGTTACGAACGGCAGTTCACTCTCTAAAGATACCAGCTCAAAGT